ACAAGATACGTTTTAAACATAGTTATAGCATAAAACATATTTTTATTGGTGGTGAAAATAAGCATAATGAAATTACCAAACATTTTCCATCGACGCAAACGTCCAATTTTTCTTCATCACACGTTGTACCGTCGATTACTTTATTTCTATGTCTGTAATAAAATCGTTCCCCTTTYGGCATACAATTCAGTTCACATTTGTTTGGTGCTTTGGTGTAGGGAACCCATCTGTGTAAATAATTTATATTGTATAGCGTATGACAGTAAAAAGTTTATTTTTTATTTTTCTCTTACTCGTATGTCAATCCCTCAAATGGTACACTGTTAAATGCAGCACATTGTTCCAGTCGGAAATCCAGACTTTTTCTGGGACATTCCTATAAAAATCSATGAATATTTCAAACACGTCTGATTTTTAATGTTCACTGACATGTGCGTTATTTAAGAATAATAATTGTTATGGYGAAGTTATAATATCATAAATTTAAAACTAAGGTTCTCTACTCAATTTATTTTGTTAATATGAGGTACATGAATGTTATGTTCATTCGATAAATTTATTCAAGTGTGGCTTGACTGTGCTTTTATTAAAAGTTTGAGATCCATAATACAGTATTTTATTATACAAAACTAATTTGGTAGTTTAAAAAATATAGCTATGGCTTAAAAGAATAATGTCTGATTTTATATTGAAAATGATTTTCCACTTCTGTATATTTTGTAACAAGTGTATACTCACTTGAATATTACAGGAATAATATCTTTTCGATGATCCCGTGCAATCTTCGGAACCGTCTTGTCTATAAACAAAAATAAGTCTTAAATAAGTGCCTAATATTAGGTGTATTATGTGTATTAGAAATTGATGAGCCAATTCGCTTCATGCGAAAAATTATATAATGGACACTGGATACCATTTGTTGATGTTTGCCAAATAAAATAACAATAGCTACCAACTAATCAAATAAAAATAATTTTGACTAACGCATTTTTAAGGACACTGTACCTACAATTACCTACTCGATTTTATAGAAGTTCTCCTTGAAACTCTCATGAAATTTATTAGAAATATTATTCTAGCGTGTTGCATTAATTACCCCTGTCCAATAATTACATAAAATAATAATSTACCTAATTATAGTTTYATTATTTTCAATAAATTTCCTGATTTGTGTGATAATTGGTGCACCTATTTATAGATCTATTTATATAACAATAATTTATTTAATTTTCTTAAAATAAATCTACGTAGAAAATTTGAATGTTTTATTTAAAATATATTCAAAATACAAATGAGCAATTATCAAGTATTTAGCATTAATTATAATATAAACCAATAATACGTTAATGTCCGACCCGAGGTGTAATCTATCATAATAATAATATTATGATCGTAGGTAGTCGTTTTCCTCCACTTTCCATCTTCCTCCAAAAAATTATAAATAAAATAATAAAATAATAAATATAAATAATTTACGCATACCAAAAAATAAAAATAATTTATGATACAGTATTATATTTTTTTTATAATTATAGAACATTTCAACAATAAATGAATACCTGTTTAAAGAAAAGAAAAATTAGACATAATATGAATAATTATTTTTTCTTTCATAATTACTCGGACCAGTGTTTTTCAATAGCTGATATATAGTTAATATCAGAATTTAATTAATAATAATCAACCGATAAGCACAAAATGTGATCCTATTATCTCTATTCCATTTTTATAAATTGGAACGTAATACTACAACACTGGCTAAAATATTGTAGGACAATAGACATCATTTTTAGTCGAAAATAATGTGGAGGAAAATGGACACTGGAGGAAAATTGTATATCGYTTATGGAGGAAAATGGAACTRCYCAATATTACATCGGTGAATAGTATTATCCGTTCATTTTTATGCTATTGGTAAGTATAACCTACTCGGATAGATGATCGATAATTTTTTTTTTTTAGAATTGTTTGGCATAGGGATACAGTTATAGAAATCTTATCGAATAAATCGATGTGCGGGATAAAAGTGAAATAAGGAAATWAGTAAAAATTATTATCTACCTAGGTACTTTTCGGGAAGTTATTATGGTTTTTTATTTTTCGTAGATGATTTATTTAAGATCATAAAAAATTTAAAAAATCAAGACTTTTATTTTTACTTTTCGTGTTGTTCTSTATTCTTATCAAAAAATGACCAAATGGTCGTGTTTTCTTTTTACCCACGTACTTGTCAAATGATTAGTGTAGAACAGTAATTTATATTAAATCTATAGTTTGTATCACATTCACATATATGTAACAATTCTAGATTATGTCTGGATTTTGATAATTGTTACACGGATATATCATAAATAGATTCTAAATAAACTTTTYCGCTGTAATATATATAATGTTTTTTGTGAAATAAGATAGGTAAGAGTTAATTCAACAAATTGTATGACCTATTTAATATTTTTTTTTTCATTATTATTTAATTCGTTTATATAGTAAA